GAGAGCGCTGGCAGTATTCGACCCGAGTCGAATCATCACAGGTATGTGAATTGCCGGGTCATAGCAGAATGTTTTTTTACAATGAAATATGAGCTTTTCTGATCCACCAGTTAGTGGTTTATACTTCTCGGGTGTGAACTGCTAACGACCGAGTTCTACGCGTAACGGTTGACCTTTCCCAACTGAACCTTGTCTATTCATAAGATATGGGCTTAGGGCTATTTCACGAAAATCTCACAGTCAAACTGGTGTATGACGCTCCAGTAGTTCTCAAGGGCAATGTCAAGTGGGTTCTCCATACGATGGTGTTGATATGACCGTGATTTTGAGACCTCGGAACTGCCGTATACAAGTGTGGAACTCATAATGCTGCACCTTTGATTCAAGTTTCATTTAGGATTCAAAGCATCTGAAGTGCAGCTGATAGCGAAACAGCTGTGAAATTCTTTCGTGGAGTTCCAGTGGGTAATAAGCGTTGACACTAGATGCTGAATCTTATCGTATAAGAGAAACTAGCAAAGTATCACATGGATAATTTTTACATGGTCGGACTGATAACTGAGAGTTAGTATCACAATAATTTAAGGCACGTCTTCATCGCTCAAGTTATACTTCCGAATACCAGTGAAGGGCAACTGGGAGAAAGCACTATTTGAAGGCCGCTCTTTTAGGAGTGTAATGCTGTTTTCATTCGAAAGCATGACTCATGTCATTCATTGAAACGATCCAGGATAGAAAACGAGGTTGCTTTTGGTGTTTTATACAAGGTTTATTTACATCACGTTGTATAAATCAAGCATACAAAAGCCATTCTTGTTTCGTTTTTCCCGTGTTAACTGACTTTTCTGAATTTTTATAATGAGCTACAATGAGGTAAGACGTTCACTAACAGAGTTCACGTTGTAGCTGCCGTAAATCATGAAAGCGGTGGATCGGGGACCTGCAGAGATGGTTTATGTGAGTTGTTCAACCTAGAAGAGATCCATTTCTCCGGCTGTAAGGTTAAAATCAGCCGCTTATCGGGATGGGCAGCATAATTTTATTTGTTGCTCCCGGGGTGACAATAAGTTTGTTCAAAAACACCGGGTCATCAAAATAATGGTGAAATATGTCCTACGAAACAACCAAAGTTCTGTTCCCCGAATCAGTCAATAAGACTTAGTTCGTCATGCTGACAGAGTACACAGGCTACCCAGATCAGACAGGTGGGCAGAGCCTAACAGATTTTCTATCACGAACCTGTTCGAAAAGGCGAATGGATTTCATAGGTCTTATTGATATTATTGCTTATAGAGTAAAACCAGCCCCATAGTAGATGTGAAAGACCTGTGATTTATTGTAAAGTCACTGTGAGACTAGATATCCCAACGCATCTGTTCAGGTGGAAGTGGGTTAATACGGAGCACTAGTATATCAACAAAATTATGATTACTTCAAAAGTGGCCACTCCTTTTATACCAGATGGTAAACAGAAGCGCTTAAAGTCGAAACAATGAACCAAAGATAACCATAAATAAGAGATCATCCGCCAGTGACGTGATGCATTCGATGCGAAAACTCATGTAGAAACCTGAGACTGCTCCGGGAATATGAAATTTCTATGTAGAAGAAGAATAAATGTTGAAGTCCGTGTAAACGACAAATCTTATTTACCCAAAGGAAAAAAATAAGGTTGCACACAGAAACGAATATTTGTAATTATTGAAGTAGGCGAATTTGCGAACTATTCACGGGCCCAGGAACCAGTTGTAATTACTTTTGCACTCATTCAAACAATAATCCCGTGGACAGGTATGTTTGTCGTTCCCAGAGACAGAAGGACATTTTCCTATCCTTCTTCGCAAGGGAACAGTTCACACTATCAAAGACACAATCTTGCAACACTTGTTTGATAGTAGACAGCCAATCGATTCGGTGACGGTCCTGACCACTTGTGCAGTTCACAGCAAACGACCACGTAGGCAGTTACGCTTGATGGCAGAAGCCGTAGAAGTTCGAAGGTGAGAGCCACGGCAACAACAATAACAGTTTCGTGGGACGGTCTTGTGGAATCGTTGTTGTTGTTTCCGTGGCCATAACAAGAGTTTCCCTCTGTACTTTCTATTGTCAAACTCATCAATCTTATGACATTTCACGCACCCAACTTTAACACATGTCTATTCCTTCTTACTGGTCACACAATTCACATATAATTTCACACCAAAGTTGAAAAGGATCATTAGATTTTAGTATGTAGTAAAGACCCCGGACTTATTGCATGTTTATTCAACTCTGCTATCCAGAAATATTTGCAAATGATGAATCAAATTATCTAGAACTATATTTATTCCCAGTTACTCCGTACTACGTAGTAAATGCCTAAAGGATGAAGTGAAAATAATTTTCTTTGTGCAGCATGAGTTTTCATGAATCAATGGAAATTTTCATTGAGATTGTGATAGAATTGATTCCCGGTATCCTAGACAGAGTTTTCTAATACTTCAAATAAATGGAAAATTTATTAGTTCGAATGATTCGATGAGAGTGCAGAAATCAAAACAAATGATTTGGGCGAAATGAGTTGTTCAGTACGTGATGGATTAATCACGATGACCCGAGCAGTGGGTTGAACAGTCCGATGCTATTCGTTCGGTAATACGGGTGTGGGTGTGTACAAGTGTTTACTATAAAAGCTTGAAAAACGAAGGTGAAAATTTCATAAATCTACGGCAGAGGAACTGCACTTTCCTGGATCATTTTGAACGGAGTGTGTCGTTAGACGATCTACCGGCAAACATCATTCGTTCCGTTATCGTTCACGTGATTATTCGCACACACGATTCTATTGGATACGCTCGTTATAGCGGAATATATTAAGCAAAATAAATTTAATAATATTATCATCCTTCTTGTCAGTTTCAAACTTGCTGAGCAAACATGTCAGTTGCTGTTCTCTTTCTGGTCCTCGGTTTAGAGCTAAACAGTCATATTCCAAGAGGTATGTTCATAAACCCGAGTGCAATTTCCTTAAACTGAAAATGATTTATTTTATAAATGGTAAACTGTTGTGAACCTGCAGGACAAATTGTAAACTAGTTTGTCTGTGAAATGTTTGCTTTCCACGCTGAATAAGTTCTCCTTAAATGAGAAAGGATACACACCTATCAGTAATCGAAATCATTATTCCCTAGGGTATATCCACACGTTCTGAGTTTTGTTTGAGCAAGGTCGTCGTGCTAAAGACTTGGAAATAGAAACTCTAAATTCAAGCCCTCAATCAATGCGGTGCAAAGTTTGTACTACGTATTCGGAATCTTTAGCTCGTGGCTGTCCTGAAAGATGTTACCCATGTTCATATTCCAAGGTAGATAACACTTGTTACAATTCCTGACTGGTATATGACTAATCCAAGTCCCGATTTCAAAGTGGTCATCTGCAACCACTAAATATACCGTCAACTGTTATGTTCATGGAATCTGTCCCTTCCGTTGAAAAGACGAACATCTTGGAAAATAGGGTTAAAAGTATTGAGGGAAGCTTATAGTTAATCCCTGGGAAGAAACTAAAAAGTGGACGGTCTTCTTCGAAGTCGTAGTCTAACGTATATTAGAACGTCAAATAACAAACAGGCTTACTTTCAATGCTTCAAGCCTTAGGCCCGATAAAGCATATTTTATCGGCACGGCATTCAAGATGACTAAAAATGAAAACACGAAGGAACATGACGAAGGCAATGTTAGATTATGTATCCGCTGTGATATGGTGCCCGCAATACCTCACGACAGAGGAAAAAGGGCATTTCCCAGGTCTAGCAACCTTGAAGTAAAAGATTACATATCTTAGCGCAGTACATTCGTCCTTCCGTCTTCCAAATGATTTGTTTCCTATTCAATTAGAACCAATCTAGTAAAGGAGTTGGTACTTATCTGAAATGACTCAGTTGTCGTATTTCCAACTAAACCATGCATTTTCATAAGATTTTGCCTCTTTTGGGTAACGAAGTGATGAGCACATGTTCCATATACTACAGAGGGGTCAAACTACCTCTTGAAAACCTGTATTTGTGTGGATTTCTGATGGCCCATCCTGGAGAATTTCCAAAAACCAAGCACCAAAAAACAACCTACTCAACGTCGTCTACTTCCAAACACTTTTCGAAGTCAGAAATTTTCTTTGTGTCTCGGTCTTACCCCCACGAATTTCTCATCCCTACTTCTAGCACAAACCGGTGGATGGTGGCAGATTTTGATCAAACCCCAGGTTCAAATGTGTATTTTTGTTTGTCAAAGACAAACTATATCAGCGCGAAATATAACAGTGAGTGAGACAGCTACAAATCTACTTTTGGGCAATAAACTCAACAAAATATGACACAAAATGATCTTGGGAAATTCTCTGTAGACCATAACGATGATGGTGTTGGTGATGGGTGACTTGTACACAGCGTAAAAACATGCTGAAAAAAGATGTGAGGAAACAATCGATAACCCATCGCCCATGAGGCAAGGTGGGAACGTCCTATGTTAGACGTATTCATGAAAACCAAGAGAGAAATACCGGTAAACAGACTGTCGGTAAATTATCAGCTAGCACACCATCATCCGAAGTTGCTTGATTTTTGTTGCAGTCTGAATAGTTTTACGATTTTAGTTGATAGACATGAGTTTTATTTCTAATCTGCAGATGAATGAAGAGCAAAGGTCAGATGGCTTTATCAAAATAGATTATGAAGTGGATAAAAAAAACCACTGACCCTACTGTGAAATTTGGAGCAGGAATATAACAAGTCCGCCATAACCTATGAGGCAAGGTGGGAACGTCTTATGTTAGACGTATTCATCATAAAAAAGAGAGAAATACCGAGTGATTGAATATATTCGAAATTGGGTACAACGTTTTGTGATGCAATCAGGGTCAGATCAAAGGCATAATGACAACGTTCGAAACCATAGGATCCCGTCGTCGGCCGTCGCTCGTCATCTTCGATTTACGAAGATACACTGCACTACCTCGACATTAAAATGACTAGGAAGAATGATGGAAAAATCGCCAGATCTGTTTACGGAAGAGAACCTTGGACAGGCCAATGCTTGCAATCTGACAGCTTTGTGTCTGTGGAATATGAACGTGGTCTGGTCCGAACACTACTTCAAACAGCACGACATATCTGCACAGAAGACGTGATTGACAACGAACTACGACAGCTGAAAGAATCTTTGACTAGAAACGCTTATCCCGATGCATTTATCGAAAGGCACAGCAAGCCTAAAGTGATCAGACAAACGAATTGTTCAGCAGAAAAACTACTAGTCACCCTTTGTCTTCCATTCAAACGTGATGACATCGATTGCTTGCTCAAACGACCACTTGGATCAGCGCTTGCCCGAACATATTATGCAGCTGACCTCAGAATCGTTCATCGAACGATTGAGATCCCCACACCGTCGGTGAAACAACGTCCACCTCTGTACACCAAATCGAATCTGATTTACCAATTTCAGTTTAGTTGCGGAGCAACCTACGTGGGTCGAACAGAGCGGCAGATACGTAACCGAGTGATTGAATATATTCGAAATTGGGTACAACGTTTTGTGATGCAATCAGGGTCAGATCAAAGGCATAATGACAACGTTCGCAAGCATAAGATCCCGTCGTCGGCCGTCGCTCGTCATCTTCTGATGACGCAACATCCAGCTGACCGAAGCACTGCGTTTCGGGTCATTTACGTGGCAAAGAATACCAGGCTTTTGAGGTTTGTTCAAACCATTGCCATACATTGATGGAAACCTAATATTGTGTCAGCAGAAACAGTTGTGTCTTTACCATTGTGACGTAAGCGTTTGCAAAACGTAATCGGGTATCTGTTGCAACGGACACATTTTGTTCCAGAAAATAATACGAACTCGAATCGTGGCAATTTTACATCTCAATCTGACTGGGTCTTCGAGAGACCTAATCGTTGATTTCGGGGTAAGAGATCTGAGGAAATTTAGGCATTCTTTTCCCGAAATAATCTTGAAAAGAAAAGCCACAGTTGCAACATTGCACAATTCATGTCCGGGACGATTTCGCTGCATCTCAACATGGTGCACACTGCACAACCATACTGTTTATATAAGTTCATGTTAAACCATAATTTTCGATAAATATATGGGAAATTTCATATTCCACAGACACATAGCTGTCAAAATGCCATCATTGGCCTGTCTAAGTTTCTTCTCGGTAAACTGATCTGGCGATTGTTACATCATTTTTCCTAGTCATTTTAATGTCGAGGAAGTGCAGTGTATCTTCGCGTTCTGCTGCCATCGTAAATCGTATATTCGGATGCAGGCGATCGAGTTCATCCATAATCCATGTTGTCTCTTCTAGACTTATTGTGATGACTAGAACATGATCAACGTATCGTTTGTAAAGTTGTGAACGTTGGAGGATTTTGCTCGCCCTTTCCTCAAGATGAGTCATAAATATGTTCCAGAATGGGACTCAATGGAGTTCCCATTGGGACACCGTCAATTTGTCTGTAAGCCCGACCAAGGAAGGAGAACGATACGTTTGTTGTGCACAGTAGTAATTGTCTAACCAGAACTGATACTGGTATACCGATTTTCAGTTGGTTTTGCTCCACATGGTCACAGATGATACGCATGACCTCCCGACCGGGAACATTCTTAAACAGTGATTTTAAATGAAATGAAGCTTATTTCACAATTGAAGGCTTTCAACAGTCGAAATTCTCATGATTTGGAAAATCCACTTGTACTTTTCACATCGAAATGTTTGTCGCCGTGAGCCGAAATCGGACCGGCGACCCTCCACGTATCGGGTAGAAGCTCCACCAGATGAGTTATCACGTTCCGGACGGCCAGCTGTGAATATTCGGTGACGCATGAACCACTATTCCGGTGATGCACAGTAACTATCCTGGTTTTAATCACTGGGCTAGCCTCGTCGGTCACTTTCCATTAGGGCGAGCAACACACAAATGAAACTGCTTATTGCCACTTTGTCCCATTGCTTACCGTGGTGCCATCCATAGTTCTACTGGACAAAAGCCACACTTTTATGGACAGGAATGGAAATACGACGCCCCAAAGACAGACGACCAAGTTGTGTCAACAATCAGTAAATGGTTGTCGTGGGGTATGTCTGCAACGTGTTGGACAAGCTGAAGCAAGCCAGCCAATCATCTCGTAGTCATATGGAGATAGCTTATAGATATTAGAGAGAGTTTTTCAACAGGAAATCCTCCATCCCTCTCCTGAAGACTGTTTATAAGATATGACCCCATAAACGCAACCAAACCCAGTGATACCTTCAAAATTCTACAAAGAATGGTACGGGGTTTTCACAGTAGAACGAGTGTTATTTGGCTCTAACCGTGTCATCCGAGACTTTAGAAGCACATGAAATTCGTTCATTTTGTAGTTTTATCAACTGGGGAGATACGAAGATGAGTCAGACCAGCCAATATAGCACGATGGTTCTGAGTCAAGTATACATGATGAAACGGTCGAGATGGATGCTGCGAGTAAACGAGGAATGGCATATGCGTAGGTGAAGATACTTTCATTGAACGGGGAGCAGTGTAAGGTGATACCGAAGATGATCGCCGTGAAGTACCTGATTATGGACTTGTCACAAAAAATCGTCTCTATTAGTGTTATTTCAGGTCACACAACTAGTGTGGTAAAGAATTCGGAATTGCAAGATACTGAGTGCAAGAACCAGGACACTCCTCCTATAATTTTGGCATTCTGTGACGACACTACCCTGCCCTTTGACAGTGTCTCTACTTGTTCCTTAATATAAGTTCCGTTCAAAACACCAAGGGTTCTTCCCTTCTGATATCATGCAGGTAAACTTCCATTTTTTTCGTGATGGAGAGGAAGCGCACGCTCATAACCAAGAAATATCACTGCTTCAATGAACAAAAGGAATATAAAATTATGAAAACGCATTTTGCACACGATTTGATCTTAGATATGGCTCAGAACCTTCATTTAAGTGAATAAGCCTTTTTTCGCATCCATCTTGTAAAATACTATGTTGCAGTAAGACGGGGTCTGCAAAATGCTACCACATTGGACCCGGATAATGATGTTACCTACATTTTGAAAATAAAAAGGCGAAAATGAAGAGACAGTTTTTGAGGATATTTGCACCGATTTAATCTCACATGAGGCAAACTACAGACGGTATGTCAGTCTCTTCAACTGTGGGAGCACGTTTAACGTGTAATTTCATCCACTGAGTTATCGACCCTTCAGATTAAATGCTATGATGATGGGATCAGTGCACGTCGTTCTCGCTGTGGAAACATCGTGAAATTTGATTTATTATAAGCTATGCTTGTATATAATTGAAGCAGAAATGACACATCAGAAAATCCAAGGGGATTCACCCGACCTTCAATGAGAACCAGCAGTTTCATGCCTTAATAATTTGAGTCGAGTGAAGACCCCAGAGAGACCACAGTGCTCTAAATCATTGAAGCTGACTGATGGTGGCAGTATTTAGGTAACGTAACTCAGACATAGCAGCCGCTGAACCACCTACGGTCAGGTTAATTTTTTATTGTAGAAGTAATTCTACTCCAGAGGTATATCGACCGATACAATTTTGGCATTCTAAGTTACTCAGTATCACACTTTCAAGGCATCAGGTCATTCTCACTCACTTCTGGCATTCTCTGTTTTTATCTGTGCTTAAGTACTGATTAGTTGTACTCCATCAAACACGTCGTCTAGCTTGGAATCATTTTATTCTCAGTGGTTTCAAATACTGGTAATGCTGTTGGCTTTGATTACCGGTTTTCACAAGCTCCGGATAGCCGCTTTTTGCTTTTAAGCAGCAAGCTTTTGTTGTAAGTAATAATATACACGGACGACGGGAGAAAATTTCTCCGGAAGAACACGATCGGTTTCGCGTTTATTGCTACTCATCAGGTATGCGTGCCCTGTACTACCCTGTCTAATCACTCCTTTACTTACACACTCCGGAAATGTGGTTTTTTCCTCACAATCTCATTTCAGTCATTAGCTGTGCCTTTGGGCTCCGAGTAACGAAAACCCAAACTTGGAACCATTTGTCCCCGTTCACACTTTGATTTCACTTGAATCATTAGAAAAGCGCATGGACGGGAAGTCCCCTTTTTAGAAACACAAGGTTGTTCGATGAAAGTTATTTCGTCGGTTAATCAAGGCTAACGGACGATTCTTAAAATTCACTACACTCCCATACACGTTCCCAATGAGTAGAGAAAGCGTTTTATTCTCATTTGAGCTAACAACATCTAATTACCGGCATCTGCTCGTCTGACGGTGAAACGATTGTGACCAAGATCTCGTTAAAATTCCTCGTCGCGACGTTGCTGATGGCACTGACGATGTCACCTCAATTGGTGATAAAACGTTTGCAATCTAAACACCAAGCTCAGCGATCAGTACATCATAGAAACCAACAACCTGAGCTACAACCAACACAAATATTTGAAACCACTGAGAGGAATTCCCTTTAGTCAAAACACTACACAAGACCCGAAATGAGTCACTCGAGTTGAAGTTAAATCACCAGGCTCATCATCGCCGGCAGCAGGATAAATTTAGGGCACTTGGCATACTCATCATCCATAAAAGTCAGTATGATGCGTTGGAAAATATCCGAAGCCAAGGGTATGACCTCTCAGTTCTAACGGGGAACTAGGCCGCGGTGACTGTTCAAGCGTGGATCTGAATGATCTTCTTTTTAGAAGAGTGGTGAATTTGAAGGTGAAAGAGCAAAATAGTGAGGAGGGATTCACAAACCAAAGTGCGCTGAGAAAAAACTCAAGTAGGTAGCAGTGACCAGAATGCAGTCTGATTATTCTACCCACCCCCCAGCCATCTGCGTATCTTTCTGTGCATACAATTACAATCACACGACTAATAATGAAAAAATTTCCGTTTACCAATAGCTGATTGTGTGACGCCTGCTTCATAGATGTGCTTTTTATACATACTTTGTGTCTTTCTGAATGTCACTTTTGGGTCATGGTGCTATGTGACTTACTCCCACTCACTAATCTGCTAAGCAGTAAATCATAAATGATACTTTACAGTGTTTTCCTCTGGTAGAAACCGACTGAAGTATAGGGAAATCCTGCCGAATTTGGTCAAATTAGAAGTTTGTCGTTGTGGATTTTATGCACTGATGACATCTAAACGGATAACCAGTGTGACCCATTCGTAAAACGTCCAAAACACCATGGTGTGGCCTAGTAGTTCAGCTGGTTGAAAGCACGCAAAGCACTTTAGTGTGGAAGGAATACGTGGTAAATCAGGAAGGAGAATATCCAATTCGAATGAGTTTAACCACTGACTGACAAATGGTAACCAGTTTCTATTCCCTTATTCCTCAGGTATGTCTTGATGAAGAATCCCAAATCTGATACCGAAATTATTGGCTTTAAGAACTGGTGTAGGTCACAGTTTAGGAGGAAGGTTTTCATTAGTTCCTATGTACTAATGGTGGCATCTCGGCTGATGATGAAAAGTTTGTCCCCTGAATTCCAAGCTCACTAATCAGAGGTTGTTGAAGATGCGCAGGCATACGATTTCAGAATTCTCCGGGAACCTCACACTTCTATCCTGTTGAACAACAGTAATTCAGTGTCGGGTAACAATATGCGAAAATTCAACTCAAATCGGTCAACAAACAAAACTAGACTTGTGATCGGAAATTCCGCTACATATTCGCGGAAGTAAAATAAACCGAGTAGTGAAGAATATGTTACCAAAACGAAAGTGTACCACATTTCTCCGACACTGATACCAATTTAAACCATGAGCACCGACAAGTCTAATCAGAACGTTTCCAACACAAGCCTTACTTCCTGAATAGGCCTCAATGAGAAGCGACATATACTGAGTGATCCGATAAGGCAGAAGTATGCTGACGACTATGGTCCGGTCACAACGGATAAGACAATTCAAAAGTGGCGTATTTGTGAAATGATTCGTCCGATAAATACTCAAATAGTAACGAGAAATAGGGAAGCTCGAGTCTCATTCGAAAAACGATTCGTATGAGAAAAACTGCCGTGGGGCTCGATTGAATTGTTTTGATCGTTTGATTGATCAATGAGGTCAGGAGTGAATGATCGATTAGAATGAATCGTTTGCACGTCTCATATATTGCAAGATGGACCCACGTAGGTAGCTCCGCAACTACACTGATCTTGGTAAATCAGATTCGATTTGGTGTACAGAGGTGGAGGGTTTAGGGAGGGATGGGAACTCATTCAAAATGTCAGCAAACGGCGATTGCGGGATCGCCAGCCGAATACCCAGGGAGTTGGTGCATTTACCAATGCCGGCTGCACAAAGCTTGGTTGTGGTATCTACCAGCTTGCGATTTTTGAGGTCCACAGTTAGTCCAAAATGTGGGAGGAAATCCGCGCCAATAATGGGAGTCTGAACATCCGCCTGGATGAAAACCCATTGAAAAGAGCGTCGGAGGCCTGAATCAGGAGTGATGGTCCGTTGGCCGAATGTAGCAATAGTTGTTGTGTTTGCTGCTTGCAGTGTAAAGTGAGATGGTTTGAGGCTGTGCTGTTTGGGTGGGGGGATTACACTGATCTCGGCGCCGGTATCAATAAGGAATCGAACACCACTGGATCGGTCAACGATATAAAATAGGCGACTTTCATGTGGAGGGCCAGCTGAAGTCATCGCCGTTACTAGCTGGCCTGGTCGTTTGACTGTGGGAAGAAAGTGCGAAATGAACATGGAGGATCACAGCGGCGTGCCTTGGAGCCGAATGTGCGGTGGTACCAACACCAGGTTTGTAATCGGCGGTTTCTGGACCGTGATCTAGGTCGATGAGGTACTTCGGTGGACACAGATCGATGAGTAGTAAAAGCGTTGCACATTGCACTGACCTGATTGCACAACATGCGAACGGTTTCTGTTAGGTCCGTAATGTCCTCATCGATATGCGAGTGATGGGATGGGGAATCAGGACTGAGAGAAACGTCGGCACGGCGAACTGGGGCAGGAACTGGTAATGCCGTAGGGGATTCGTGCGTCGGAGTGGTTTCGGCGGGTGATGTCATGTGGACGCAAGGTCCACCAGCCGGGTAGCATTTGATTATTCTATTGGCGTGTTGCGCAAGCTTGTCAAGTGGAGTAGTGGGTTCCAGCATTGACAGGACCAGCTGCATCGGAAGAGGTAGTTTAGCAACCCATATCTCCCTGAAAATGGCGTCGTCCATTTGCCGTCCAGCCAGTAGCGACCGCATGTGGCGCATAAGCTGGGACGGAGTTTGGTCTCCAAGCTCCACCGACGTGAAAAGTTCACGGAGCATTTTTCCGGCTGATTTTTCGGTACGCTGAATGACTGCTTCCTCAAGCTTCATTTAAGGAGCTTCTAATGGAATGGGATCGAGGAGATCTTCCACGTCAACAGCGATGTCAAATGGAGGCGCTTGGACAACGTGAGAATATTTCACGCGCTCGCTGGTTATATGTCGAGTGGCAAACACGGCTTCTATTTGTCGAAACCACACTCGAGGGTTGTTCGGGGCAAAAACGGGCAGTTTGAGAGCAACCGCGTGGATGTCAATAGATTCGCTGTCAGACATGGTGAATGGTATGGAACTTGGGCCGAAAGAATCAAGCTAGTGTCAAATGATGGGAAAACAACCTGGGCTCACCAATTTTGTAGCGTACTACTCTGTCTATGTGGTACACTAAATTATTGTCAACAATATCTAAGACGACACCAGCATACTAAGATGGACGGAGGAGCGTGCGGTGATAAGTAGGCCAAAAGGGTATGCACATTAGGAATTAAAATGAAACAAAAGGTGTGACTCAAACTCACAGTTGTTCAGTGTTCTTATGATCAGGAAATGAGCGTCGAAGAGCCGATATCCGCCAATGTCTTCAGTTCGGTTCGGTCTGACAACCATTCGTTGAACAGAACAGGATGGTATTGAGCGGAGTGGCAAGAGATGCCGTTGAAGCCTCTAAAATGTTTTGTTTCACTCAGTTAGTTCCGACCGATATAATTCCAAGACACTCCAAACCAGAAGATGAGACCGTGCCAGAATGAAAGATTCATTTACAGCCTCTTTGTATTGCGCGGTGTTGACGTTCAAAAGGTATGTGTGTTTTACATTGAAACGTCGGTACAACAAAGGAGTGTCGCACCAAGGGACGTTGAAAATCATGGAAAAGTCGGAAATGTACAGGTACCTACAAACTCAAATCGGTCAACAAACAAAACTAGACTTGTGTTCTCCGATTTCCGCTACAGATTCTCGGAAGTAGAATAAAACGAGCAGTGAATCATATGTTAGCAAAACGAAAGTGTACCACATGTCTCCGACACTGAAACCAATTCAAACCATGAGCACCGTCAAGTATAATCAGAACGTTTCCAACATAAGCCTTACTCCCTGAATAGGCCCCAATGAGAAGCGACATATATAGAGTGATCCAGAAAATTAGTACGTACTCGAATCGTGGCAATTTTACATCTCAATCTGACTAGGTCATCGAGAGACCTAATGGTTGATTGCCGGAGACGAGATCTGAGGAAAGTTAGGCATGCTTTTCCCGAAATAATGTTGACAAAAAAAGCCACAGTTGCAACATTGCACGATTCATGTCCGGGACGATTTCAAAACTAATCCTATTGACAATCGGGCAAACCTGAGTAGTAGTACACGTCCGCAGCAAGTTGGTTGAAGTTGAGAGTTGTAGATCAAAACCTCACCTGGGATATGCGGTCGAACACAGTGAGAATAATCCCTATTACAGCCACTACAACGGTCTTCGGTACGTCAGCAACAATGAAGCCAGAATATGAGGAACATGAGGAAGTGACCTCGTCACAATGCGGGCGTGAAGACGAACTATTTCAAGCAGTGCAAATGATTTACCATTTCCAGGTTTCTGACTGAGCAAGCACAGATGTTTAGCCTGTTCCTCATTCTCAACACCATAGAACGTCGATTCTTTGCAGTTCAAAAGTGAGTAATTCACAGGGCGATTTATCTTGTAGTAGTGAAGTTGGGCAAACTGTTTAGAATCAGCTCGCGTAGCCTGGTGGTTGGGAATGTGACTGACAATCATTCGCTGTGGGTTCAAATCAAAGTAGAGCCTCAGTGGATACGTATTTCTTGTTATTCCTGTCAGGCCAGATAAAACGGCTGCGGCCATAGTTTTCAAAGGTGATACTTTATATGCCAATCAATGCAAATCTCCTGCTACTCATATTCATGGTGTTTGTTCCTGGAACACCTTGCATCGAAAAAGTATGTAGACGTACTCATCTTGAGTGTAGAACTCTTCTATCTAGTCATTCACGTGGAAAAATAAGCTCAGAAGAAATCATACGGGACACGCCTTCAAATAAAAACTGATCTGTGGGCATGTAGTTCTGGTCGCAAAAGATTCATTGTCAGTTAAGATAAAACCCAATTAGATCTTGACGACGATAAATGATTTCTGATGGAAATAATAAACTCAGTAATGCGCAACTATCAAAATTCCTCAACCGAGGCGATACACTTCATATTTATACACCAAATCAGTGATAATGCACATATTTCAAACTAATATTGATTGTTTTCGCCCACCATAGTGCTCTTTTGGCTTTGCTTGGGAAAGAAAAAAGAGATTTGTAGTTTCTCATTTAATTATTCATTTCACCGAAAAAGCCATATTCAAAAAGCTTGGAACTTTAAGCCCCCTCAATCTACTTCATACGAACAGATGAAATATATAAATTGTGAGATGCGAGTTTTCTAAGTTCTTTCCAATGGCGAACGAAAAACATGGAAATTCACCTTGAAATGGAGCTCGATGAAACACAATTGGAATGGACAGAGCCGAACAAATTCGGAAAAGGTTCAGTAAAAGTTGATTGCTTAAAGCCAAAAAGGACAAACATGGTTTTATAAACAGTTTCTTTAGGCATGGCTGAAGCGTGAGTCTACTCATCAGTAAAGATTAGCAGAAGGCTTATAGCCTAGGGCTCCAGTTTCGTGCAGCCATCCGGGAAGCTCGACTAAGGCGAGTATTGTGAGAAAAATTATCTAGGACTTACAGAAATGTTTGCTTGGATGAAAATTACCACAGTTTATTCTTATTTCCCCATTCCCCACTCCCATACGCACAGATTTGGTTTGAACCCTGAAAATCCGCTGATTCAGATGTATAAAGCTACTGCTGACTTGACTTGATATGAAAGATCGTAAAATAATCTCTTATTTCCTTATTTCCACAAGGGTATAATATCTTCGGAGGAAGTCAGAGTAAATTCGAGAACGCCAAATGAATTGCCGGAAACTGCCTGGATTGATTTCGGGACCACATGGTCTGAAGCCCGCGGGTATTGCCACTTGACCGGTGCTGGTCACGTGTTTTCCCCAAAGTTATACCCAGTGCTCCATCCAACCCCTCAAACCAGAAAATTATGAAACTAATTTTAATTGTTTATCGATTTGTCCCCAGTTACGTGGTGTTTTTTTGTCCGCCTTTGTTGCCCAACCATGGTGAATGCACAGGTAGACAGAAGAAATCCATCACTTGCGACAGTAATTTGGCAGAGTTCGGCATAAATTCAATTGAGCCATTTTAATGGAACAACGGTATGTCATCAGTATTGCAGATATTGTTGTCCCCTGTTAGGGTGCTGCAAGGATACCCCAAAGCGGTCTTGGTAACAGTTAAGTCTCCGTTTGTGTGACCTACAGTGTACTCGCATCCCGCGTTATCCGCCTTGCAAGTCAAGTAACACGTTCACGTATTTTTTTGTCCGTGCAAGTGATTTGCTTCAGTGATTGTCTTCATTTTGGAACTACTCGTTGGCCTGGCTCAGCAGTCAATCTGTCATCGACCTGCATGCTAACTCAGTCCCAAATCATTGGAACAAATTAGCTTGTGTGCTTGTTATGGTTCTATCATGCTCTAGGCCTCCAAGATAAAACGCTTGAGGTGGACTAAGAATAGGCCCTTCTATGTCACACACCCTCTCCCAACTCACCCACTCACTAACCTGTAGGGTAAATTGATTCACATGAAATTCATCGAAGCTTGACTCGACTAAATAGTCTACTTTCAAAAGCAGCCCGATGCATGGTACTGGCGATTAGGATGGGCAGTTTCGTTTCAGGTGCACAAGGATGGACATTATTATAACCTATGAATCACATTTGGTGCAATAAGAGGTTGGTTGCTTGTCTTTCTTTGGCAGATCAATATTCTTGAAATGATTTAAGTCAAAGTGGGCCCATCACACTATCATAAGTCAAGGAGTGGCGGGCAGTTCCGTAATTACAGTCTAGGTTTGCCTATAAATTAATCTGACTTGCTTTCTAGTTCCTTAGTCAAGTGAACGCACAAAGCAAACATTTCATTTTATCTAGTTCAATCAGTAGCAATTAGATGCTCTCTTAGTTCAAATACTTTTGGATTCATCCTTGCGACCCTTTTTGAACAAGTAACGTCCAAGTGAATGAGTATTCTCTCATAGCTCTGTTGGTAAAAGGCACACCATACTTACGATCGGTTCGCACGCGTGTTGGGCTCAAATTTATTCAAGGCTGAACAGTTTGAACTTTTGATTCACAAAGGATTTTTTCATACACTTGGTTTCTCTCTCTCCACGAATACATCTACGTAATATATTTTTGCTTTTTGCTTTCTTTTTTATTTATTATACAGCAAAGTACATCAATTCAGGGGGGGGGACACTGTCAGTGAAAAGCTACCAAAAGGGGAAGTGTTCCGCGGGGCAGAAGATTCGGAGGCCCCTAAAACAGATTTAATTCTTGACAGCAACCGTGAATTGTGCGTACGACCGCAGGCCAGAAGTTCATTTCAAAAAAACACGTACAAACGTGTGCGTCGTACCAGACTTTCCGTACACTCTTTCCTAGTATTAAAGCGATACTTGCGTTGAGGTTGTCTGCTTCGCATCAGAAGTTTGGATTTCAATGTTTTTTATGTTTCAGTCGGTTGTAGCTCAGGCTGTTGGTTATCATGAAGTTCTGATCACTGAGCTTGGCGTATAGGTCGCAAACATTTCATCACCAGTCGGGGTAGCATCGTCAGTGCACGTGCTCTGTTGGTAGTGACCTTTTGGATTTAAACAGACTGTTGCCGTTGAATCCGTTCGAAATACGTCTAGTAGGCCGTTACCGCATATCAGAATCTTGGCTAGGATGCACCTTATCACTGGCATCAGCGATTCGGCATCACCAAGAACCTGATCGGAGAGACAAATAGTATTGCGCAGAACAACTTTACAAGCTTGTTACAGTCCACTTGGCCTGTATCAACATTTGTGAGACAAAACAAACTTCGCTGCAGGACAAACCAACGTCCTCTCTTCAGTGTAATAAGT